CTCAGCTTGGTTGACAGCACTGCCACTTGCTAATGAAGGGTATGTCTTCACGAAACCAGAGTTCTTTGACGCAATCTATATGCGTTATCGGTGGACATTGAAGCGCCTTCCATCCTTCTGCGCTTGTGGAAAATCTTTCACCGTGGACCATGCCTTGTCGTGCCTGAAAGGAGGTTTTATTCATCGACGACATGACGAAATCCGTGACCTTCTCGCTTCTGCCATAGACGACGTGGCCTATGACGTTTCTACTGAACCTGCTCTTGCTCCTTTAACTGGCGAAGTACTTCCATCCAGTGCTAATTCTGCCGATGATGCTAGAGTGGACATAGCTGCGAGAGGTTTCTGGCAGAGATGTGAAAAAGCATTTTTTGATGACAGGGTGTTTAATCCTTACGCTTCGACACATCGCCGCCAGACTCTTACCAGCTCGTTTAACGCCAACGAACGTGAGAAGAAACGTCATTATAATCAAAGAATTGTTGAAGTTGAACATGGCTCCTTCACCCCAGTCGTTTTTAGTGCCTATGGTGGATGTGGAAGGGAGACTTCTCACTTCCTCTCGTTCCTAGCAGGCAAACTGGCTGAGAAAAAGAACTTTAGTTCCTCCATAGTTCTCAACTGGTTACGTAAGAAGATAGCTTTCGCTCTTCTTCGCGCTAGGGTTGTGTGTGTTCGTGGTAGTCGTTCCTGGAGAACTTTAAACATTCCTTCATTAATGCAGAAGGGATGCCCAGGGACGGTGCTCTACAAAGAAGTGAGGTTATCTTAACTGCGTATGGGGGATATGAGATTACCCAATTTGGAAAAGTACTAATACCATGTCAGCACAAAAGGGGAAAATTTAATTGTGTTTTTTATGTAACTGATGCAGTAGGTCCAGCTATATTGGGAATAAAAGCGTGTAGAGCCCTTGGACTGGTTTCACTCCATTGTGCGCTGGAAACAAAAGTGGTACAAGGAAGAAACATCCCTCAAGGTGTTGCCCAGGGGCCTAGTGAAGAGAAAGTTAAGTCCACTAAGAGTATTAGATTTGCGGATCAAGCAAAGATAGTAAATCAGCAACAAAGTCGGTCTAGAAGTTATATTAAACCCTCTGTGCCAATCACAGACCGTCCTCGTATAAAGGATAAAGAGAATCTGATCGAGATGTATCCAGAATGTTTTGATGGGTCAGTTGGATGTTTTGAAGATTACACATACCATATAACCCTAGATCCTAAAGTTAAACCAGTTATTCATGCGCCTCGTAAAGTACCATTAGAGCTGGTAGATAAACTAAATTTCGAACTTGACGAGATGGAAAAGAGCGGTGTAATAGAAAAGGTAACAAAACCAACCGAGTGGGTAAATTCTATAGTTATAAGGGAGAAGCCTAATGGAAGGCTTCGGATATGTTTGGATCCCAAAGACCTGAACGAAGCAATTATGCGGGACCACTATCCAACACCCACCTTAGAGGAAATCACCCCAAAGTTAGCTGGAGCTAAGATATTCAGCAAATTAGACGCTCGTAATGGATACTGGAATGTTAAGTTAGATGATGAATCATCATATCTAACCACATTTAATACACCAAATGGTCGATATAGATTCCTAAGAATGCCGTTTGGTCTTCGAATGAGCCAGGATGTCTTCCAATCAAGATTGATGAAGTCTATCGGAACTGTCTTGGTGCTGCTGGGATTGCGGACGACATCACAGTCCATGGCCAAGATGAGTCAAATCACGATCTATATCTTCATGATGCAATGGAAACGTACAAGAATGGCTGGCATCAAACTCAACCGAGAGAAATGCATCATCAAGACCGCTGAATGCAGTTTTTTTGGTATGGTATATACCGCGAATGGAGTCAAACCTGATCCAGAGAAGGTCATAGCCATACAGAACATGGAACCACCCAAAGATAAGAAAGAACTTCACACGTTCCTTGGAATGGTCAACTATTTAGCGCCATTTATGCCCAACTTGGCGAGTCACACGGCACCTTTGAGAGAGTTAATCCGGGATAACGTTGATTACCAATGGTCTCCGTCACATACAAGAGCTTTTAACATACTCAAGTGTCAAAAAGGCACAGAAACTACACTTTCCTACTACGATAGAAGCAAGTCAGTTGTGCTACAAGTAGACGCATCAAGTAAAGGCTTGGGAGCCGTTCTATTACAAGAGAACAAGCCCATTGCGTTTGCATCGAAAGCCTTAACCCTGCTGAGAGTAGGTACGCCAACATCGAGCGTGAGTTATTGGCAGTGATATATGGATGTGAGAAATTCCACACTTACTTATGGGAGGCAATTCGTTGTGGAAAGTGATCATCGTCCTTTGGAACAGATCCAGAAGAAAAATCTCGACATGGCACCTCCTCGACTTCAAAGAATGCTTGTACGATTGCAACCATACGGTTGTATCATCAAATACAAGCCAGGCAGATACCCTATCGAGACTGTCACCAAGGAAGGGAGACGAAATCCCAGGAATGCGTGTGAAAATTCATCATCTAGTAGAATTTCCACCTGTCGAGCTCCAACAGATAAAAGAAGAAACTGCTAGAGATGGAACTCTTCAAATACTCAGCGAGCAAGTTATACAAGGGTGGCCTGATAGCATAAAGAAAATACAGCAAGCAGTAAAGCCTTACTGGAATAACCGAGATGACATTTCTATCCAAGAAGGACTTCTATTCTTAGGCAGTAGAATAATTGTTCCAGAATCACTCCGGCAGAAGATAATGCGAGAAATCCATAGTGGTCATTTAGGGATGGAGAAGTGCAAACTCCGTTAAAAATCCTGCGTTTATTGGCCCGGTATATATAAAGAGATTGAGAGTATGGTGGTGTCCTGTTGTGCCTGCAAGAAATTCCAGAATTCACAGCAAAAGGAACCCATGATTCCAAGCGAAGTACCGCCAAGACCATGGCATACTGTGAGCGCAGACCTGTTTAAGGTAAATAATTTCTGGTACATTGTTATTGCTGACTATTACTCGAAATTTCCATTTGTGAAGAAATTAAATAATTTAACAGCAACCACTGTAGTTAATGTGGTTAGATCGATATTTTCTGAGCAAGGCATACCAGAAACGCTCATTTGTGATAACGGATCTCAATTCACTTCTGCCCAATTTCAAGACCTAGCGAAGAGATATGGTTTTAAAGTAGTCACTTCGTCACCTCATTACCCAAAGGGGCATGGTTTCATTGAGAGACAGGTCCAAACTGTGAAGAAGATCCTGTTGAAATGCAAGGAATCAGGAGCTGATCCTAGTCTTGCATTACTGTCGTTGCGTTCTACCCCCGTTAAGTACAACACTCAAATCTCCAGCAGAGCTACTAAATGGAAGAATGTTCAAGTCAACATTACCAGTAAAGATTCATCCACCAAGCGATCGGTACGAAACCAGAGACTTGTTATTAACACAACAAAAGAAACAAGTAAATCTATATAACAGGGATTCGAAGGAGAAGCCAAATCTCTTTCAAAATCAAGCGGTACAAGTTCAAGACCCTGTTAACAAAACGTGGAGTCCAGCGAGAGTAGTTGGTTTTGGACCAACTCCTCGTTCTTATATTACAGAGGATGGATCCGGAGTTCAGTTACGGAGGAATAGACAGTTAATCAAGCCTGATATACAGAAGACACCTGAACTGATAAATCGTGCAGCCTGTGGAGGCAACCAGGGTGATGTGAGACAGGTCGCATAGTAAAGAAGCCGGACAGAATAATATACAAGTAGATAATATCATTAAATAGAATTAAAATAAATTAGATAAAGTAGAACAATTGATAAAGACAATTTCAGCATAAGTATTTTAGATCATAAGTTTTTTAAAATTTAGGAAAAGAAAAAAAAATATATATATATATATCTTTTAAGAAAGGAGGATGTTGTATATCTCGCATCCGGCTTGTTACAGCCGTGTCACTTCCGGCTGACGAACTTCCGGGTTATGAGCTTTATAAGGCCCGTTTGTGAAGCACGCGGTAAGGATTGACATTTTCGAAGGCCTGTTGTCATAGTTAGTTTATCTATAACGTTTTTTCGCCAGACACCAGAGAGCCATCACAGATATTTGTAAGTAGCTGTTAATGTTTTTATGTCTTTATCTTGTAATATGTAACTCGAGGAATATCGTGTAACTCCTGTGTATTCTTGTATTTGTATATAGCACCGTTATATTAATAAAGTATAAAATGAGAGCGAACGTGTTGAAACTCGAAGCCCCATAACCAGTTGACAGCCTTGGGGCTGGCATAGTGAAATATCTACGCAGCGACTGAAAACAGCTAGAAATAGCGTTATGGATCCCCAGACAGATCAGACAATGACAGAGTCAACCAGCCGAAACAGTCCTGTCTTGGATAAGACAAACAAAAATACAAATACGATTGAAATCATCCACGAAAGCACCGACAAACATCAAAAGAGTTCAGAAGAAGTAACTGAGTATCGTCGAAGCACTAGAGAGAGAACACTAAGCCAAAAAGGTAAAGAATACCTCTTAAATCTGAAGAGAAATATATTCAAACAAACAACGCGTTGTCTAGTCGATAAATTGGCTTCGACTAAAACACAAGTAAGCACGCTAGAAGAGGCAGAGACTAGAGACGAAATTGATCAACTAGAGACTCTAGTTAAAGAATTCAATCGAGGCTTAGACGAATTATTAAAACTGCTCGAACCTGAACAGCGTGAAAGTTATATAACAGAATGTCAAACCGTTTTAAACGACTGGCAAAATGTGAAAGCTTCGTTAGACCTAAATATGCAAAAATATGAAATCGACAATATCCGGGCGCCTAATCCCCGGTCGTCATTACCGGAAGACAGAAAATCAATAACTTCCTCTGTTCGTACTACCTCTTCTATCCAAGAGAAAAGGCTAGAAGCCCGTGCTAAAGTAGCCGCACTCCGAAGTAAAATGGTAGTAGAAGAGGAAATAATAGAACAAAAAAATTTATTAGCCAAGCATGAAGCCCACTTAGAGAAATTGAGAATGAGGCAACAATTAGCTGAAGCAGAAGCGGAAGTAGAAGTTTATGAACAAGTCGAAAATGACCAAGAAGAAATTCCCGTATTTGTGAAAAAGGAACTTCTGACGTCGTACACGAGTAATAATAACCTGAAGACTAAAATAACTCAAGATAGCGTGACCCCATCACTCCACCCAGTTCAGCAAATTAGGTCAGCACCTGATAAACCTATGAATTGTAATGTACCCTCCTTCAGACCTCAACCAGATAGCACACGTCCATCCCCAGTACTGCAACAGACCTTGGTGTCCAGCAACGAACAAACAGTTCATTCTCCTACATTGGAGACTGAAAAGAGTCAGCTGTGCGATAGCAACAAAGTTATTCTAGAAGCACTATCCCTCCAGAGACTGCCAAAACTTACACCGAAGGTTTTTGAAGGTGATGAAATGGAATTTTTGCGTTGGGAATCTTCCTTTGATGCCCTAGTTGCCTCGAACACCCATGATTCCAAGACCATGTTGCATTATCTATGCCAGTTTCTGAAAGGAGAACCACTGAAGATGGTAGAACATTATCAGGACTTGCACCATGATGCCGACACTGCTTATCGTCGAGCCCGAGAAGAGCTGAAATACCGGTATGGCAATGCCAGCATTCTCACCGCGAGTATCGACAAGAGGCTAACGAATTGGCCTAAAATTGGGAGAGACTACAACCGAGAACTCCTGCATTTTAGCGACTTCCTAAACCAAGTTGAGGTGGCCATGAGTAAGTACACCGCCCTAAAGTGCTTCGATTGTTCCAGAGAAATTGTGAAGTTGACAGAAAAACTACCTGGATGGGCACAGAACGAATGGAAACGGAAGGTGTGGAAATACAAAGAGACCAACGGCGAGGAAAGTTTCCCTCCATTCTCGAGTTTTGTAGAAGCAATGAAAACGCTTGCCCGTCGTGTCAACATGCCCGAATTTGGTGGAATCACGAAGCAAGAAGACAGCCGAAGAAAGGAGTTCGACAACCAAAGGACAAAAAGAAATAATTCGAATAGGAACATCACATCCTTTGGTACTCGAGTTAACCAAGGAAATAGAAATGAAGAATCAGAATCATTCAAAGAAGAATCTCAAAACCGTAGCCAACGGAAGATATCCTGTTTCCATTGCCAGAAAGACGACCATTCTCTCAACGACTGTAAAGAATTTCTTGCGTTGACCTTCGATCAGCGAAAAACTTTCATGAGAGAAAAACGAATATGTTTTAACTGTCTAAAATCGACGAATCATATTGCAAAAAAATGCGATCAACACAAACCTGAGTGTGGGACATGCAACCAGAGGCATGCAACAGCTTTACACGATCCACAACGCCATCCCAGTGAACCTAGAACAACCACCCATTGCATCCGAGTTTGTGGCTCGTACCAAACCACCAAGTCATGTGCCAAGATCGTACTTGTATGGCTTCGTCATCCATCCGTCCCGGACACAGAAGTTCTTACTTATGCCCTGTTGGACGATCAAAGTAACGCAGTCCTTGTTAAGCAGTCTGTCTTCGAGAGATTCGGAATCAAATCATCCCCTACGAATATAAGAGTCTCGACAGTCCTAAATAAGGAACAACTTATCGCAAGTAGTCGTGTACAGGACCTCGTGGTCTCAGATTATCACCACCAAAAATCGATACGTCTACCCACAGCCTATACCCGAGAGGATCTCCCCGCAGATTATACTGACATTCCGACGAGAAGAGCAGCCAGTCAATGGAACCACCTAAAAGATATCGCGAAATTATACCAGAACAACGTAAAGTGGAAATTGGCTTGTTGATCGGCCGAAATGTGCCACAAGCAATGAAAACCAGAGAAGTAGTAAACGGGAAAGATGATGAGCCATGGGCGGAGCGTTACGACCTGGGATGGACAATAATAGGTGACGTATGCAAAGGATCCGAGGGGAACGACAGCGACGAGACATTCAAGATTAATCGAATCGTTATACGTGACAGTTTGATGGCCAAAGAAATCTACACGACCTCGGATGTCCAACGAATGATGGAACTCGACTACTCCGAAAGAAAGGCGGAGCAAGGAGACAACACAATTCACTCGATTGAAGATCGAAGGTTCTTACAAATCCTTGAAGAAGGAATCAAGAAAGATGCTGAAGGGCGCTGGGAAATGCCGCTCCCATTTAGAGACGAAACTCCCCCACATCTACCTGATAATCGTCCACATTGTGTCAAAAGAGTGATGTCTCTGAAGAGAAAGTTCGAAAGGGATCCAAAGTTGTTTAAAGACTACGCAGAATTTATAAAAAAAATAATTACCAAGGGACATGCAAGCAGAATCGAAGACAGTGCATCCGAATCCCAGCCAAGACGAACATGGTACCTTCCTCACTTTCCAATTTACCACCACCAGAAACCAGATCAAATCCGAGTTGTTTTTGACTGCAGCGATACGTTTCAACAAGAAAGCCTCAATAAACACCTCCTTCAAGGACCAGATCTGATGAATAAGCTTACAGGAGTGCTCAATAGATTTCGACAGGAAGAAATTGCTGTGACGTGCGACGTAGAGCAGATGTTCCATAATTTTATGGTAGCTGAAGAGCACAGAGATTACCTTCGTTTTTTGTGGTTTCAAGAAGGAGACGTGACAAAGCCCATCGTAACGTATCGTATGAAAGTGCATCTGTTCGGAGCAGTATCCAGCCCAGGATGTGCGAACTTTGGTCTTCGCAAAACAGCGCAAGACGGCGAAAGTGAATTCGGAGAAGAGGTTGCGAATTTCGTACGAAATGATTTCTATGTCGACGATGGTTTAAAATCAGTCAAGACAATAGAAGACGCCGTCAATCTTATCACGAAATCGCAAGCAATGTGTGCAAAAGCGGGACTTCGCCTTCATAAGTTCGCCAGTAATTCCATTGACGTCCTGGAAGCCGTTCCAGCCGAGGACCGCGCCAAGGAGATAAAAGACCTCGATTTACGTCACGATACCCTCCCGATTCAACGATCGCTCGGGACGTATTGGTGTATAGAGTCGGACACGTTCCAATTTAGAATAACGTTAAAGGACAAACCCTTTACACGCCGCGGGATTTTGAGTACAGTCAGTTCCGTTTACGACCCATTGGGAATCGTATGTCCAGTGATTCTCACTGGAAAACTGATCTTAAGAGAACTAGTTCAACAAAAGGCGGATTGGGATGAGCTCGTGTCGGAAGAGATTCGCCCTCGTTGGGAAAAATGGAGAGCAGATTTGAAAGATTTAGAGAAAATGGAAACCCGCCGGTGTTTGAAACCACCAAGTTTCGGAGAAATAAAGTCTACTGAGATACACAGCTTCGCCGATGCCAGTCAGTCTGCAGTAGGACAAGTTTCTTACATGAGACTGGTTAACGATAAAGATCAAGTCCATGTCTCGTTTTTGACGGCCAAAGCGCGAGTTGCCCCTCTGAAACTCGTGTCCATACCCAGACTTGAACTCACAGCTGCTGTTATTTCTGTGAACGTTACACAACAACTTTCGAGGGATCTAGATTATGACGTGGACGCCAACACCTACTATAGTGATTCAACAGTCGTCCTTGGATATATCCAAAATGATGCCCGCCGCTTCCACGTCTACGTAGGAAACAGAGTACAAGCTATAAGAAGCAAAACGTCCCCACAGTCGTGGCACCATGTGAGAGGCAAAGAAAACCCAGCCGACATCGCTTCCAGATCCGCCACACCAAAAGAATTATTAGATACTCCCACCTGGCTAAACGGTCCAGAATTCTTATGGCAAACAGAACTACCTGAGCATACCAGCTGTTCGCCTCTCCTTAATGAGAACGACCCAGAAGTCAGAAAAGTCACAGTCCATGCGGTTCATGTGAACTCACAAGAAAGACCCTTGGACATGGCCATCCTGAATCGTTTCTCGTCGTGGTTTAAGCTAAAACGTGCGATAGCCTTAGCGACTAAGTACGTCAATATACTCCGAACCAGAGTATCTCAGAAAAGAAGAGGTCAAGAGCCAGATGTCCTCGGAAAAGGTTTGTCTACGTCTGTTCTAGTTGAAGATTTGGAACAGGCAGAGCATATTCTCATAAGAAATATCCAACAGCATCATTTCCACGAAGAAATGGCCGTCTTACAGAGTCTAAAAGACGGTCAGTTTAAAAATAACGTAGAAACTAGAAAAAGAAACCAGACGCTTAAGCACTTCAGTTCACTACACCGTCTAGATCCGTTCGTAGACCAACAAGGCATTATTCGAGTTGGAGGACGGATTAAACGAGCTGAGGTCTCATTTCAAGAGAAGCACCCAGTTGTCCTTCCAAAAAGGAGCCACCTTACCGAACTGGTCATACGACACCACCATGAAGCAGTTCAACATCAAGGTCGTCTCTTGACTTTGAATGAGATTCGACATGCTGGCTATTGGATAATCCATGGTCGAGCCACAGTATCAAACGTCATAAATAAATGTGTGAAGTGTCGCAAACAACGAGGTACATCTGAAACTCAAAAGATGGCCGATCTCCCATTTGACCGCATGAAAGAAACAGCTCCATTCACCTATGTCGGAGTAGACGCCTTTGGCCCCTGGCATATTAGAGAAGGCAGAAAGAGTGTAAAACGATACGGAATTATATTCACCTGTATGGCCTCACGAGCTATACACCTGGAAACGTTGAACTCTATGGACACGGACAGTTTTATTTGTGCATTAAGACGGTTCATAAGTAGACGCGGAAACGTCCGACAGCTCAGATCGGATAGAGGAACCAACTTCATCGGAGCAAAAGGAGAGTTGGCGCAAGCATGGAACGAGATGAACCAAGACCACGTCCGTCAATTCCTTCTGACTAAGAATTGTGATTGGATTATGAATGTTCCCCACTCGTCGCATATGGGAGGTGTGTGGGAACGACAGATAAGGACAGTCAGATCAGTCATCTCAGCTATCATGACTGAACTCGGTGACCAACTCGACGACGAGACCCTACGCACGCTCTTCGCAGAAACAGAAAACATAGTTAACTCTCGTCCATTAACGGCAGATGTCTCCGACCCGGACAGTCCAGAACCTATTACACCTATACAACTACTTACGCTGAAATCAAAAGTCGTACTACCTCCTCCAGGACAGTTCAGCCGACCTGATGTCTACAGCCGTAAGAGATGGAAGCGGGTCCAATTCTTAGCAAATCAATTCTGGCAGAGGTGGAGACGCGAGTACCTCCAAAGCTTGCAAGTCAGAAAGAAGTGGCAAAATCCTAAACGGAACCTGAAGGTTGGTGATATCGTTATCGACAAAGACGAAGATCTTCCGAGAAATCAATGGCCGTTAGCAAAAGTAACCAAAACCTACCCTAGTGATGACGGTTTGGTTCGAAAGGTCGAAATCCAAAAGGCAACAAGCAATTTGGACAAGAACGGGAAAAGGAAGAATGACTTGAGTTTTTTCGAACGACCAATTCACAAGTTGACAATGTTATTAGAAACAGTAGATTAAGTAGAGACCGAAAGGAACTTCCCCGCCAAGGAGCATTAAACTTTACTGAGTTGACAGTTCTGTATACAACCATTAGATAATATAGGTTATTGATATTTTATAGTTAGAAAATGTACTAAGTGAACATTTTGGGGAGCCATGTTACAGCCGTGTCACTTCCGGCTGACGAACTTCCGGGTTATGAGCTTTATAAGGCCCGTTTGTGAAGCACGCGGTAAGGATTGACATTTTCGAAGGCCTGTTGTCATAGTTAGTTTATCTATAACGTTTTTTCGCCAGACACCAGAGAGCCATCACAGATATTTGTAAGTAGCTGTTAATGTTTTTATGTCTTTATCTTGTAATATGTAACTCGAGGAATATCGTGTAACTCCTGTGTATTCTTGTATTTGTATATAGCACCGTTATATTAATAAAGTATAAAATGAGAGCGAACGTGTTGAAACTCGAAGCCCCATAACCAGTTGACAGCCTTGGGGCTGGCATACGGCTAGTTACTTCCGGGTTTGTATGTATTATAAATAGCCTAGCTTCTCTTTGTAATATCAGAACTTATAGTAAAGATATACTTTGCAATCCGAATGAATCTAAGATTTAGATCAAGACAAGAAAACACAACACAAAGTGAGGATAAAACAGTTGAAAACGAAAAGGAAATTATGAGTCTTATTGAAACGAAAAACTGTCCATTTATAGTGAGCTATCGTTATTTTCACTCTGGCAATGAGTTCATGTATCTTATTGTTGATCTTTGCGAGGAAAACTTGAGGGAACTTGTTCATGCATGCAGTATTGAACATCTACAAGAGCATGGTCCACGAATGACTAGAGAAATTCTATCAGGACTTGAATTTCTTCATGGTGAAGGAAAGTTGCACAGAGATTTAAAACCTTCAAACGTCCTGGTTGATATCGAAGGTCACATGAAATTGGCAGACTTCGGAATAAGCCGTATTTTGAATGACGATGAAACAACAGTTGTAACATTCGCCAAAGGTACTCCTGGATGGATGCCATCGGAAGTAGCTCAAGCAATTGAGAAAGATGAAAAAAGTCGTTTCAAAAGGAAATCAGATGTCCAGGTCGCAGGTATGATTGCTTTCTACGTCTTAACTAAAGGTGAACACCCTTTTGGTTCCATGTTTGATCGAATGAGAAATATATCAAAAGGGAACTCTGTTAATTTGAAGAAACTTGGTGATCGCAAAGCTCAAAATTTTGTGTCGAGGCTGATCAATCATAAAATTCATGAAAGACCTTATGCTCACGAGGCGTTGAGGGATCCTTTCGTTGATGAACATTGACACAGTCGAACTTTTCTACGGAGATAAAACAACTATTATCGAAATTAATTACGAAAGACGAGATTCGTGGAAAAATAAATCTTATCTGGACTTGAACATAGCATATTTGTCAAAATCACAACATTGTTTTCCTTTGTTGTTGAACTTGGGGAATTGAAATGGTTTCATTTACTTTTTTTACATCATCAGGCGCATCCAGTTTCACACAAAATGGTTCACGATGTTGAGATAATGAGATTAATTATTACATGCATTACCAGAAATTTGCGACATGATAATTTGCATTTATACTAATTTGCATTTAACTTTCAGCATAATGGCCTTCAACTTTTACTATTAAATACATATAGTAAATATACAAAACCCTAAAATGTCGTTGCCCTAGACCTTGCCCACTGTTTGCCGACCTCTGGGTCAATAGAACAGCCGTTTCCCAACGTTTTAATGATCGAATTACTTACCTTAGGTATTTCTACGTTCGGCCAACTGATTGTGAACAAATGTGTATATAGCCTTCGTATTGTTCAAGTTCCTGATAAGACTGATAATATTTTTTAAAGTGATTTGTAAGGACTGGAAACTAGGACATGCGCAGAAATACGTTGTTCGCGCGCTTCTATTTTGTCATGCTTTATCGTTTTGTAAATATCGTGCTGTTCTTGTTGTTTCAATAAATAATTCATATTTATTGCGTGAGTTTACACTGGTGGCAGCATGGGATCGACGAAGATTGTTCTCCCAGACAAGAAGTTTTCTGGGGAGGAAGATATCCGCGAGTTTCTTCGAGATTTTGAGATTTATGTGGCCGTGAACGAGTGGTCGGATGAGAAGGCTGGTCAATTTCTTGCTGTATTTTTGACTGAGGATGCAAAGGCTTTCTACCATCAGCAACCTGATTCCGTACGGAGGAGCTATAGAGAACTTTCCGGTGCGCTGAAAGAAAGGTACGAGGGCGGTCTTGCATTGTTAAAATACAAGAAAGTATTTAATAGTAGAAGCAGGAAGAGTGGAGAGACATTGCATTCCTATCTATCAGAGCTAAGATTGGCATACGAAAGGGCTTATAGTCCTCCTAAGGTTGACCCCTTGCCGGAAGAAGCAAGTGAAGAAGTCAAGAATGAAAGAGTTAAGCAAGAAGGGGCACTAGACTTCTACAATAAGAGAAAGAATGAAGATGTATTATGTCAGTTCATCAATGGTCTGGATAAAGATCTAAAGGAGGTGTTGATTCGACAAGATGATCTTCTAAAAAGGCCAGTTGAAAGCATTCTCAAGCAAATTTCTACACTGAGAACAGAGAAGCGGTGTGACCAAGAAAGTGTCAGCAGCAAGTGGAGATACCTGAAGTAAAGGTAATGAGCATGGCAACCTGGAGAATCTTGTTTCAAAGAACAGTTGAGCAGAAAGTTGAGGAAATGATTAAAAAGGCTGGAGTTGTAAAGAAAGCAGGAAAACGTGTGGGAGGAAAAGTGAGACCTGGCCCCAAAACCCACTGATATCTGTCGAGCATGTAAAGGACACGGACACTGGGCTCGAAGCTGCCCATCTTTAAACGAGAAAGAGGCTGGCCCAGGGTCCCGGGCCCAGCCTTAGGTAACCAAAGAGGGACCACCATGTACCCTTATCGAAGTTCAGGGGAACAAATGGAAAGTAAACACAGTACACAAAGGTAAATAATAACAAAGGTTATCATGTCAGAGGCTACTGTGAACAATGTTGAGACAAACTTCCTAATAGATACAGGTGCAGAAGTAAGCTTAATTTCTGCAGAAATTCCTGGGTTATAATTAAAGAATCCCAAGTGCATCCAGTTTCAATAACTCATCAGCCAATTATTGTTAAGGGTGAGACTGAGGTACTTGTGAACTTGGGGAGTTTAAATACAACTTGGAAGTTTCTTGTTGTGGAACAATTAACAGAATCAGTTCTCGGAGCAGATTTTATAGCTGAGCACCACAAGAGTTCCTGGGGTTTCAAGGATAATAACTTTGGTTAGATGACATAGCTATTCCTTTATTTGATTATACCCAACATGTTCGGATTATAAAGGAAGATCATTCCATCCCAGTTATTGCAAAAATGTACTGTAGAACTTCCAGCCAGACACCAATTACTAATCCAAATGCGAGCAAAAGATCAGACCAGTCGAAATGGGATTTTACGAGTCAGGTAAAACACCTGGTGGGGGTACTGCTAACTAAACTGTTGTACAACCAAGTAAGGATGGCAGTTTTATGGTAAAGGCAGTAAATCTGAACTTTCATAATGTTACATTGTTCAAAAATAAAAAATTTGGGAAACTTTCTGAGATTGAAGAGGTATTTGACACGGCTAACGACTACCAGATTCAGGATGATCAACATCCAACTGTCTCTTCTATCCAGACTGAGAATATTAATGTTTTGCAAGATATTGGGATTGAATAAGTCAGACTGACCTAAAGGCGCAGGAAAAGAACAACTTGAAAAGCTGCTCATTTCCTACTCAGATGTTTTTCTCCAAGAACAAACGAGACCTAGGGACATGCAAGTTAGGGACAAACATCACATACACCTGAAACCAGGTACAGTACCAGTCAAACAACCATTACGACGTATCCCATTTGCATACCAGAAAGAGGTTAAACGATTTGAGAGAATATGCTGAAAGATGGAATTAATTGAGAAATCGTGTTCGGAATGGGCAAGTCCTTTAGTCCTAGTTCGAAAATCATCAGGAGACCTGCGGATATGTGTTGATTATCGAAAGTTTAAATGAAGCCACAATGTTTCCAAGTTACCCATTACCTAACTTAACTGAACACTTGATCGTTTAGCTGGAGCATCCTATTTCACATCAATAGATATGGTATCTGGGTACCACCAAGTTGAAGTTGCGGAAGAGGACGAGAAAAAACGGCGTTTGTATCTCCATATGGATTATTTCATATGTAGGATGCCCTATGGGCTGGCAGGGGCCCGGCAACCTTTCAATCTGTTGTCGAGGATATGGTTCAAGTATTGGAGACTGAGGATATCATGGCATATCTTTGACGATGTTATCTGTTTCCACGGATCTTTTGACAAGCATTTGCAAGGAATTCAGAAATTGCTGAGATGGTAAGAAGAGCTGGTTTTAAATTATCTGGCACAAGAAATGCCAGTTTTTGCGAAACGTTCCGTAAGATTTCCTGGGTCCTGTCTGTTATCGACAATACTGGTGTTAAACCACTACCTGAGAAACTCGATATAATCAAGAATTGGAAAGCCCCGGAAAGCGAGGATGAATTGCGACGGTTTCTGGGAGTATGCACGTTCTGGAGGAGATTTGTGAAAGATTTTGCCGAAATAGCCGTTCCACTCCACAACCTTTTAAACAAAGAACAATTTCTATGGACAAGGGAATGCCAGGCTGCGTTTGACCTTCTGAAAGAACGGTTATGTTCTTCGGTAACATTGAAACTTCCACAACGTGTTGGTCGTTTCTCTGTGACATGTGACGCTTCAGATTATGCTGTTGGTTACTATCTCGAGCAGGCTGATAGATCTGGCCTAAAGCGACCGGTTGCGTTCGGAGGAAGAAAACTACATAAAGCCGAAATGAACTACTCCACCACGGAGAAGGAGTGCTTGGCAGTAGTTGAAGCACTGAAAGCGTATCGTCCTTATGTTTTGGGAAATCAGTTCGATTTATACACGGATCACCAATCTCTTAAAT